GCTCAATTCCAGCTCCAGCAATGAAAAACAGCGGCAAGAATCTATAGACACCGAGGCGCCGTTTAATTGTTCTTATTTTTTCATGAAACATGGAATTCTCAAAGGGTTCAAAGGCCTGTCTTCTGCAGTTTCAAAGGGCCGCCATGTTGAAGGTCTTCATATCTGAGTTACCTAATTCCTTGAATTTTTACCGCTGGTCTGTTTACTACGGGCACATATTTTTCTTGTAAACAGAAAAGAACGATAAGCTTATGTGTTTGATGGATGTGTATGTTTGTATGCCCTGGTTCACGACTGAAACTTAACGCGATCACAGATAAAAGGATGCAGAATCAAGAGGACTCCCTTCGTTACAGCCCATACTTGTGAGTGGTGTTTATATTTCTGCCTTAACCAAACTAGATCACTTGTTTGCCACTCTGCGTTAGAATCAGCTTTCAGGAAAGCATGCATGTCAGCTGTTGATATACACTTTGATGGATTAGGCATCTTAACCTATTGATTATTTTGTTTTGCAGCACAAAAAAATCAGGAGTTTATGATGAAGCTAAAGAAACAAATGGTTTGAAAGACGAAGGCAAAAGCGCCGGGAAAAGTCCAAAAAAGCCAAGACGTCCAGTCAAAAGATTTGGAGAAATGTCTGAAGAAGATGTGTTGAAACTAAAGCTTCCAGAACATCTTGACTATAATCTGGATATTCTGTTTGTAAGCATATTGATGTTTCTTATATGGCAGTCTTGAGCTTCAGAAAAAAAAAAAAAAAGAAGCGGATCAGAAACATTTTCATTTCACCACGAGAGAGTCTCTGACATTAATTTTCCTAGACTAGTGTTAGAGTTGGAGAATTAGTTGGACGTTTTGTTTCAGATAGTGGTTGCTAGATTGATAAAACTCATTAACTAATATGTGTATCTATTTTGGACAAATTTATGGCTCAATTCTCTTACAGGTTGGAATAAATCCAGGATTGATGGCGGCCTACAAGGGACACCACTATGCGGGAGCAAATAATCACTTCTGTGGGTATTGTAATTTATTTATTTGCTCACATTTTATGTATCCATTTTCGGAAATTCATCACTAGTTAATCTAAATAAATATAAAAGTTACAGTGAGGCTCAATTCTAAGATTCCCATAAATGGTTCATAATTTTGTAGGAGATCAATTAACCCCAGCCTTCATGCTGCTCCTGGCTAGCTCTTGGTTGACATTTGGTTGTCATATGATCACTTCATTTTGTCGATTCGATCATTCGGATTACTTCTTTACTTTACTTCTTACTCCCTGTCCTGGGACTCTCCATAGGTGCTAAGAAAAAATTAATTTTAACCTACTTGTACATACCATACCAACCCTTGATGTACAGTAAACTCTCTGTAAAATTTAGGAAAGTGTTTTCCCTTCATAAAATACATGTAGATGAAATAAAGGAGCATCAAGAGATGATGTTAAGAAAATGAAAAGCAGTACCATGAAGTACAAATGTTTATGTTGTAGGGCCTTGTTTATATGAATCAGGACTGGTTCCTGAGAGGCTGACGTACCTGGATGATGTAAGATGTCCATCATATGGAATAGGATTAACAAACATGGTGGAGCGAACAACAAGAGGAAGTGCTGACCTTTCCAGGTGAACAAAGCTTGATTGATAAGTGAATGGTTAATAGGTCTTGTTTACAGTATACTGATTGTAATAGACAGTCCTTTTTCATTTAGCAGTACTTGTTTCACCCTAACATCTGTATGCATATTCTCCATACTGTTCTCTATACTTTTCATAAGGTGTTGACAAAGAGAATTTGTTTGACAATCAAGAGTTTCTTTAGTTGGTGATCATTTCCTTTATTGTGGTAACTTAAATGTTTGATTAAGGGATTCAGTGTGGGTCTTAGAGTTGAGAAATATTTTGGGCAAAATTAAATCCTGAAACTTTCCTTAAAAAGTGATAAAATGTTAGAATTACAAAGCTCTAAGACAAATGCATTCCCATTCTTTTAATTCCTTCACCTGCAGAGAAATTAGTTTTGCTTGAGACCCTCATCAAAATATGAAAAAAATATAAATGTTTTCACACCAAGAAATTATTTACTTCATTTTTTCATGTGGATTTCTACATGAACCTCTGTTACGATCACATGAGATAATCCACAGAAATATTCATTGCTGTCAAATATTCAATGAATTGCGTTGTTTCACAGACAGGAAATGAGAGATGGTAAAGATGGGCTCATACGGAAAGTGGAGCTGTACAAACCATTGATAGTCTGTTTTAATGGAAAAGGTTGGTACATCAATGGCAGTAAAGAAGGCAATCTCTGCATGGAACTCCTTCATCTGTTCAAGAGTCTTGGTGTAAGCTTTTAGGAATTATCTGTGTTAAAAAGTTAGTTCTGGACCCAGTTGTTTGAAGGCCAATTGGCACTAACCCAAGGTTTAATTTCATCTTCATTTCTTTATTTCTTTGTTCTAAAGCCTTTTTCTGGGATAATTTTCTCCATTATTTTTAGAGCATCCAGTCTTCAAATTGTATGCAAAAAGAGTTACTGGTATACTGAATTTCTCTTAAAGCTTTGTTATCTGAAATTATGATTCACGCTAACCCTAGGTTATCTTAACCCAGCTTTGAACAAACCTGCCTTGTAGAAAATGGATAGGCAGTGTTTGAAACTGAGGAAAAAGTGGGCTGTCTTTAGTGGATAGGTAGGCAATTCCAAGAACTTTACTTAATTTGATTTATTTTTCTACATTCCTTCAGTTATATATGAGTTATTTTCTGGATCCAAGTGTACAGTTGGTCAACAAAAAGATCCTATACCAGGAACCAATACAGTGAGTTTGTTTCTGATTTTGTCTCATCTTCATATTAACCCCAAAGGCCTTCCTTTGAGTTTTGTAAATTGACTGGTCTGCATGCAATAAGGAAGTGTTGGGGGTGACCTTTAACATATTTTAAATAAATGTTGTCTTCTACCTTTTGGAGTACTTCAGACTATTAATTTGTGTTAGATCGAGTGTGGTTGTGATTAGCTCAAGAATAGATGTGGTCTTGCAGAAGTTTTGAAAATTCTTCAGCAAACTTTGGGATCACTGTCAGTATCTGAGTAACTGTACACCTACCTCTCCCCTAACCCTGACAACAGTCCACTGGGTTAGGGGTGGGGTAGGTGAGCAGTTGCTCAGATACTGACATCAATCCAAACTTTGTACCTGGTTTGTGAAAATAATTACAAAAATAATCAGTAGCTAATCAGTATCTGATGATGGCAATTTCATTGGCCAAAGACTATAAACATAGTTGATAAGGTTTCAAGCTGCTAAAAGGGAAAAATCAGTGAAAAGGTCCTTGTTTCCTTCAACTTCATAACTCCCTTCCACTCAGTGTATGGATATTCCGGATGAGAAGTTAAATTATGCAATAAATTCCACCTTTCAATGGAAACTCTACAAATTATGGCATTTTACATGAGAAGTTAAATTATGCAATAAATTTCACCTTTCAATGGAAACTCTACAAATTATGGCATTTTACATTAATTGTCTGGGTAACTCATGTGATAAAGGTCCATCCTGAGTAGTGCTACAGAACAGCTTTTCAACTTTACTTATTGTCTTGTTTTAATTCTTGTCATCTGAAGGTCGTGTATGTGATGCCTTCCACATCTGGTAGAACACAAACATATCCTCGGGCCAGTGACAAAGTTCCCTTTTTCTTGGAGC